TTATCTAAAATTTTCCAATATATATAGTTAAATTTATGGATTTAGATCTCACTAATAGAAAACTAGATGTGTATTGAATTAAAGCAGTATTAAAATCTAAAGTAAATTATATTTTTGTATATTCTACATATGTTTGATTACAGAATGGGAAAGAAAAGTTTCAGTTGTTCACTGTTCTATTAAAGATCACTGTGTTAAACTGGGCGTGGTGGTGCATGCCTGTAATCCCAGCACTCGGGAAGCTGAGGCAGGAGAATCATGCAAGTTTGAGACCAGCCTGGGCTACAAAGTGAGCTCAAGGCCAGCCTGAACTGAATAGCGAGACCCTGTCTCAAAAAGACAAAAAAAGAGATCACTGTGTTAAAAAATATTTACATTTGTATTATTCTGTCATTGAACTATCTAGTTGAATCTGATGCTTTAGTATGTATAAGCAAACCAGGATTTCTTCACTTTAATATGGACTCTTCCATTTCTTTTGTGGTAAGGATGTTGTAAGGATGTAAGGATATTGCTATCTCCCATTCCCAGGGAGCTTTTCATGTTGGATAAGAGTCTTCTAATAATCGTGGACTACACTTGATGTTCTTAGAAACACTCTTTCCTGGATATTACATTTGCAAAGCTCAGTCATAGCTTGTAAACTTCTACTGGCCACTTAAACATGGGTAAAATACTGTATTCAAGATTCCCTCAGTCTCAGAGACTAAAAATTAAGAATTGTGCTTTGATCTTCGGGAGTAGGGAGTGGGGTGGAACTGTGGGCCTAAGTGAGTGTGGCTGTTCTAATAGAATCCTAGTTTTATAAAATAATGTCAAAGTACTGTATAAAACTTTCCAATAGATACGCTGTCTGAAACAAAACTAAACTATTTTCCAAGCCCCATCTAGGCAGATGACAAGTAGATGGCATCTAGACTTGCCATTTAAGTCATCTGGAAAGCAGTGATGTCTTTAAAATTCTGTTATTGATGGCAGCCATTGGCATAGTTCATCTGTTTTCCTACCAAAACACAGAGAGGCAGTATAAATCCTTTGTAATTATTAGGAATGTCTTATTTTGCAAGTATGTATTATTTTAGCCCTATTGGTAAATGGCAGAGAGAGAGGTACCTTTTTTTTTGGTGGCACTAGGGATTGAACCTTGGGCCTTTGCAGTGAGCTATATCCCATCCCTTTTTATTTTGAGATAAAGTCTCACTAAATTGCCCATTCTGGAACATTTATCTTGAGTGGAAAGGTAAAATCAGGAGGTGTCTGTTGGCATCTTCAAGGCCTAGGCCAGTAATGCTTGGCTAGGCGAGTAGTAGAATAGAGAGGAAATTCAAATGCAGTTTGGGCCGTGGGAACTGCTGTTGAGTAAAGGCTGGAGACTGCCCCAGTAGTGAGACGAGCCGTGTTACAGCCACTGGGACTCACTGTGCACTTCCGGTGCACTAGTCCTGTTGTGTTTGATGTATATCATTTCATTTAACCCTCACAACCATGCAGTGGGATACTTCGTAGACATAGGAACCAAGTAAGCCATGGAGAGACTAGGTACTGCACTCAAGAGGCTGGGCCAGGATTTGGTTGCCTCCACAGCCGTCTGTGCTCTGCACCACGGGAAAGCTAGAATTTTTCACCAAGGCCCGTCCCTGTCAGTGGTACCATCATTGCCTCAAATCTTGCTGCCTATATACTAAACATTATAAACCTGCAGACAAGGGGCTCGCACATACGCACCCTTACTTAGCCTGTGGGTTGTCAAGAGCAAAGAACAAGCAAGGAGTGGTTTCAGTTCTTAATAAAACTAGTAAGTAACTTCTCTTACTATTCTGATACCAATTTCTAATAGTGCCTGCGTGTATTTGATTGTCAAGCATTACAAACCACATGTAGAGAAAGACTGGAACACACGACTATTCCAAGATTAGATTAAGGCCTAGTCACAGGGTCCTAAGGTTGATGTGAGAGTGGTGTAGAGTGAGTAGAAAAATGCAGGAGCCACATGAGTAAAGTAGATGGCTGAAGGCTGTGAGCAGTTCTGCGTGATAGCCAGTAACTCCCAGTTGAGGAGAAGGGTTGGGGCCAAAACCAAAAGCGGAAACCGTGGTTGTAGACGGGTTTTGGAAGTAAATGGCATGTGAACATAACTCTGCATTGGCATGAAAAGATGGCAGACATCTTATTTCTCCATTATGAGAGAAAATGGCAAGAAGAGGATGGAACCAAGGGGAGGCAACTGCCATGAGGATCTGGCTGTGGATGGCAGAAATGCATGGGTGTGTGGGTGGAGAGTCCCCTGAACTATGGCACGTGACTAACTTTATAGTCGGGGAGAGTTTAATCTGTTACAAAGTAGGGTAGTATTGATTGTATTGATTCATGCCATTAAAAACGTCCACCTGATTTAATGCCGACGAGTTAATAGTTAACCATTACAGGGATGTGTCATGCTCCCTTTGTATCACTTGAGGATTCTGACAAATGGAAGCGTCATGTAATGCACACTTGTAACCTAGAGTACTTGTCACTCCAAAAGTGTCCTCATAACTCCCTCTCAGGGACTTCCCACCTCCACAGGCACCCGTTGTTCTTATTTCTGTCATCACAAATTAGTCTTGTCTATACCAACAAGCTCTGTAAGAAACTGAAGTCCTCATCAAAAGCTTCCCTGAAGGGGGCTGGGGATTTAGCTCAGCGGCAAAGCGCCTGCCTGGCAAGCACAAGGTCGTGAGTTCGGTTCCCGGTACCAGAGAAAAACAAAAAAAAAGCTTCCCTGAAGATAACCCATTACAGAAGACAGTAACGTTCAGAGACTTGGTACAAGTTCTGTGCCCTTGGACAAAACTTATCTGATCCTTGCATACAGGGTTACATTAAATGACCCCAACCCACTTCCAGATCAAACACTGCAGCCACACCTAATCTCAAAGGCCCCAACCACTTGCTCCACACGCTAAGCCAAAACAAGTTCATTCACTCCTTTCTACTCTTTCGTCGTTGCTGGAACAAAGTACTGATGTATATAACTGAATGGCTCACAGTGTGAGAAGTTTCAGTCCATGGTCAGTTGGCTCCAAGGCAGGATCATCAAGATGGAAGTGACTGTGGAGCAGAAGTACACACTGCGTGGCAGTGAAGCAGAGCACAGGGAAAGAGCACATCCAAGAGAGATACTGCAACTTGTGATCACAAAATTCAGTGAATGTTTACATAAGAATTTCTTAAGTGTATTACAGTAAAAGATACATTGTCATTGCTCCCCCTCAGCATACTCCCCTTGCTTCAGACATTATCCCATCATTCTCACAACCTTCTCAGACAGTTCTGGTAAACTTTTTGTGGCTGTGTTAATACTGAATCTGTTCTACTTATGGCAATTTCTATCAAATAAAAGCATTACTGTTTGTCTTCATCCACCTTTATTCACTGGATCTGACACTGTGTGACTTCTGGCTCTTCCCCAAAGTCAAAGTCCGGTAAGAGGTAAACATTTTGAATCAACTCAAGACATTGAAGCAACCACGAACAGTGCAAATACAGACACTCATGAAAGGGGACTTCCAGAACTGCTTCAGGAAATAGAAGAGTGAGATAAATGTATTCAAAGTGAGGGGAAATATTTTGAAGGGAATTCACAGCACTGTGTTTTTTACTGTAATAAATCTTTTAATTCAAAAATTCACCGTATTTTTTATCGTACCATGTATACTCTAAAGGCACGCCTGTCGTGACCCACCCTCCCACTCCCCGTTGCCTGCTGTCCACATCAGTCCCTCTTTGTAAGCTTGTTGGATGTGTCTCTTCCTTTGGCCCTGGCCGTCTCTTTCTGCCTGCTCTAATAGGTAGCTGTCAAATCGCTACTCTCCCAACCCTCTTGCCCTGATCTCTCCACACCAGTGTGTGACTGCCCTCTGGGGAAGCTTTGCTTCTCTGTTTAAAGTCCTGTGGCTTTCCACCAATCAGGATGCTTCTCTGTCACCTATAGAGTGTTGAAATTCTGTACCATGTGCCTGTGACTTGCTTTTAGTGTCCCCGTTCCTATTTGCTCTGTGCTACTGCTCTTCCTTCCTCCCTCGCTCATCCCTTTATAAGTCCCCATGGACTTATAGGGTCTTGCTTAGGGTCTTACATATACTTGTGTTCCTGATTATGTTGGGGACTATTTTTGTCATGCTATGGTTTGAACCCAGGCCTTTCACATACTGAGCTCCAACCCTAGCCCTTTCTTATTTTTTGAAACCCTATGAGGCTCTTGCTCAGGCTGGGCTTGAGCTTTCGGTCCTCCTGCTCAGCCTCCCAGAGTGCTTGGATTACAGGCATGCAGCACCACCCAGAGAACCTCTCAAGAGAGATCAGGAACCCTATTCTGTTCATCTTTCCATCTCCAGCATCTGGCATATGAGTGCTGCAAACAGTCCCCAAGTTAAATTGCTAAGGAGGATGATCCCTCAAAGGGTCAGTCTTACTTACAGTTCGAGTTGATCTTTTTTAAAATTTTTTTTAAAAATCAAAGAAGTTCTCATGTGCTTCTGGCTAGTTATTCAAGTCTAATTCTGAAATTTTCTGCCCAGTAGCTAACATGGTAATATTGGTGAAAGGTGGGAAAGTTTATATTTGGAGAGGAAGAGTATATTACTAAGTGTTAAAGCAGTGAAACCTGTGGGTAAAGGACTGATGCCATATTCTTTAATTCCCATTTTAAATTGGACCTAATGTGCTTACCCATTTAGCTCAAGAATGGTATAGTACTGTTTCTGGGGACGGAGATCATTTCTTTCTACAGGCCTTTGCAGTAATTAGCAAACAGCCAGAAGGTGGGGTAAAAATGATTGGTAAATATTGATCCAAATGTCTATGAACATGGTACTGTGTTTGTAGCTGTTTGTTCATCATGGTTCACTCTCCTGATTTTTCAGAGCTTTGGGTTCTGCCTTGCAGCGTGAATCGGCAGTACCACCCCAGTTGATCACTGCTAGCTCAGATGTTTTTTTTTTTATCTTTTCAAAACCTAGGTAAGAACCTTGATGCTGTCCACGACATCACCGTGGCATATCCTCACAACATTCCTCAAACCGAGAAGCACCTCCTCCATGGAAACTTCCCCAAGGAAATCCACTTTCACGTCCACCGCTATCCCATAGATGCCCTCCCCACGTCCAAGGATGACCTGCAGCTCTGGTGCCACAAGCGGTGGGAGGAGAAGGAAGAAAGGCTGCGTTCCTTCTACCAAGGGGAGAAGAACTTTTATTTTACTGGACAGAGTGTAATCCCACCTTGCAAGTCTGAGCTCAGGGTCTTTGTGGTCAAACTGCTGTCCATCCTGTATTGGACCCTGTTCAGCCCTGCCATGTGCCTGCTCATATATCTGTATAGTCTTGTTCGGTGGTACTTTATAATCACCATTATAGTCTTTGTACTACAAGAGAGGATATTTGGTGGACTGGAAATTATTGAACTTGCATGCTACCGTTTTTTACATAAGCAGTCACATTTAAACTCAAAGAAAAGTGAGTAAGATGGGTAAGGTTCACAGCATAAAACTTAGGAGATATTTTGGAAATGTTCTAAGTCTTTGTAAACTAAGATGCATTTTTGCATGACTATGTGAAATATTTCTTAATGTCATTATTTGTTAAAGATATTTTGCACTTAATTTTGTGGAAAAAATATTGCTACAATTTTTTTTAAACCTCTGAATGTACTTTCAATGCTGCATACATAGCAGGAATCAATTGCTGTGAGATAACTCGGGCCTGAATATCACACAGTCATCAGGCTGTTAACAGGCAAAGTACACACAAATTTTCCCGAAAGGCCCAGCCCTCTTTCCTAACTGACTCCCCAGACCAGAGGAAGGTCCAGCTCCTGAGCACTGGCCCGACACGCATGCGTCTATGACTGCCTGCCCACCCCGCGGGCGAGCACGCTTCCTCCAGGTGTGCAGGCAGACGGTGCCCAGGCTTCCTCTGAGCTCTGTCCCATCCTTTCCGCACCTGCCAAAGCCATCCCATCCTTCCTCCAGGCCAGAATGCAGAACTTGCTGGTCCCTAACTGAGCGAGCATTTTGATAGGAAGCCCTATTTATCATAGTATCTTGTGCTGACCTGTGTGCCTTTCCTCTCATGGAAATCACACCTGCACACGTCTCAGGGAGCAACCACGGGCTCTCCACTTTGAAGCCTTCATTTAAATTTTAAAAGATAGGAATTAACTGAGATCAAGTTTTTCACTAATGCTCAGTTGCGCATGTTTAGTGCTGGGGTCCTTACAACTTGTTGGCAGATGATGACGCTTTTTTTCTTAAAAATAGTAAACAGGCAGTCACATACCTTTTTAAAGGCACACTTAACATTCTGTTGGTGTAGACGCAGACTGTCTTGTAAAATATATTTATTTAAAACCTACCCCAAAAGGAAGGCTGTGTTTTCCACGTATGCATGGAGATCTAGCTTCTGCCATTAAAATAACAAAAATGTTTGCAGACAGGGCAATGATGGTGTATTCTAAAGTATTCAACCCTTGTAGCCTTGATAAATTTTACTTTTAAAACCAAAATAACACAAAAGGAATTCTTTTCAGTGATAGCAAGAAGCCTCTCCTGCTCCAACCACAGGCTTCCTCTCTCAAGAGTAATGTTTAAACCTACTTTTCACCAGCTCGACTAAATATTTTTGTCATTTGCAGTCACTGGAAAATTCGGCAAACCAACGGCACCAGTCTCCTTCTGAGGCAAAGAAGCGTGTTGTCATTATTTCCACTCCATTGGAGCTGTGTGCCCCCCGCCCGTGTTGTTCTGTTTTTGTTTTTCCTGGTCTTGTAGTAGGGATAGTGGTCCAAGCTGCTGAAAGTGGAAGACAATTAAAAACCTTTAGCTGTTAGAAAATGCAGTAGCTTTATGTACTCTTGGGGCATGAATGCCTTCTCTTCAATGCTTGACAGTGACTATAAACTAACAGTTGAATCATGTGTTGCAGTGAAACGTAAAGACATGGTGAGCTGTACTTAGGTGCTTTGAGAAAGCCTTTGTTGGGGCAGAACACCAGTGACACATGGCTTTTGTTGGGAGAGTATTAACTAGTCCCTCTGCTGCTCTGCACCAACCCATACTTAACTACTTCTTCAGAGCTGTTTTCAATCCTGCTGGGAGCTTACCAATTAGTTACTATGCACATCTGCTCCCAACCCAGCTGTTTAACTTCATGGCTTTTGAAGATACTCTTTTTAAGAAACAACAAACATTTTTCCCTTCCCTTTATGAAAGAGGCTTCTGGTTTAAGTTTCTCTTAAGACTTCCTTGGGTTATTTTTAAACACGGAAATGGTTTGTACGACTAGGATTGCATTTGTCCCAAGTAAAAAAGAAAAACTGCTTTTTACCCTAAAGGTGAGTGGAACAGCGCTCCTGCCCGTCCTACAAACTCACCCGGCTCATTAGTCATTTAACTTGTGCTGAATTGAGTGGCGTTTAATTCTGATACCTTTAAATGGAAAACTCTTTAATAGCAGCAAACAAGTTTAAAATAAACTATAGGTTTTATTTTACCTACCCAAAATTTATAATTATAAGTAAAACTGGGAATGTAGGCATTGCACTTGTTTCTAAAATTAGAAATAAGTCCCCTTTGACAATAAGGCTTATTAAAAATTATAAATTGTAGTTATGTACACATTTAGCTGCATGAAAGTCCACTTTTTTATTTAAAGAAATATGTTAATGGAGTATAGAATATTTTGAATTGATACTAAAATGTCAAGTATAAATTAAAGTTGCTTTAGTAATTGTGAAGGGCCTCAGAAATCGCGCACTATGCCTGCCACCACAGCACCTGGGCTCAGAGCAGCCGCCAGCCTTGCTGCAGCAGAGCCATGCTCCTACACACTGCACTTGCCATCCTCTGAAGGTTACATGTTCTCCAGTTGCCACATTTCCCCTTCTGAAAAGTTTTAAGTATAGCAAATGTGGGCTACTCATAGCAAGAGCCATTATACTTAAAATCTGAACCTACAAGGGGAGTGCTGGCAAGGTAACAGTTCTTACCCCAGACTTCTCTTATGAAACAGGAAAAAGCACTTCTAAAATTCAAAGAACAAGGTAGAAGACTAAATGTTTCGAAGAACCTCATTATTTAAGGTTCCCAATAAAATTCTTCCTGTGCTCTCAAAATGCAGATTATAGGGCAGTAACAGCTTCCACCTGAGTTGCTCTGAAATTACTTCAATAGCACCATATCAGGAATCATTTATGGATAGCCAAGGAGGCACTCCGATTTCACCCGACTTCAGGCACCCCGGTGGCGATGCCCCTGTGTGCTCTTACAAGAAAGACTAATGAAGGGAGCCTGTTGGTGTTAAATTGTTTACATTTCTTTATATATAAATAATGTGCTTTCAGTGCCTTAGTTATGGGTCCCTTTCTTTATCTTATTCTAAGAATTCTACAACGTGTTTCTTAGGTCAAGTCTCTCTGCTACTCACCAGGAGGACCCTGTTCTCTGAACCTTGGTCACTGTGGTTGGTAAACACTTCTCTTTGTAACAGAGAAGACAGCTCATTGCTGAGCCAGTGGATCCTTGGAGTTATTATCTGTGCTGTAGAAGACAAAAATGATTTTGTCATACGACAAGCTTCAGATTAAATACGGCCCTAAAGTTGTCTTGGACCTACCTTAAATTTTTATTTCAGAATAGAATCTTGGTTTGGGTAATCCATTTTTAAAAAGATCCCTATGTGGAGAATACCAAGTTTTAAAAATAACTCACAGAATGGCCTTAGTTTTCAGTGTCTACTGCTATGTATGTGAGTTGTCTATAATACACATCCAGAATAAAGTGGAGTGAATTGAGTTCACATGTGTGTTACGTTTGTGTTCTTACAGGGGTAGCAAAAACTATAGGTCATGGTGGTACTACATTTTCCCGCTTTGTTGGAGCCTTACCATAATTAAAGAAAAACTGGGATGTTAGGACTCCTTTGTTCACAGATGTTAAGAAAAAATGGGCAAAGCTAAAAACAAAATGTACTCCTTCCATAATTGAAACAGTCCAGGGACCACAATTGAATTCAGGGCTCAGCAAATGTCATAGGAACCTGATGTTACCCAGGACAATATGGTCATTCCACAAGCATGGGACAGCAGCTCTTAGAGGTGCAAAGGACTGCAATATCTCCTCCCTCTCCTCACTATCCTGGAGTAACTATGAAAGCAAGTGGTGATAGCCTGCTATAAAAATGTCCTCAGCAAACACAGGAACATCATGGAGCCTCTTCTTTTAAGATACTAGTTCTGATTGTTCAGTAAACACTTTATGTGAAAGTTTCACTCTGGTGCACATCCAGGATGGGACGTTGCAAGGGGCTTGCAAGGCCAAAGGAGTGCAGCCCTGGCCCCAAGAGTGCTGGTCCCAAGGACTGGGCCACAAGGCTTCCAGCACTCTTACTTCACTCAAGGAAAGAGTAAGAACATGGTCTCTCTAGTCATCGACCCATCTCCAGTAGGACTCGGATAAAGTTGGCTCAAAACATATGCCTGCAAGGAGCCTTGTCCAACTGATCTATCCTCCACCTAGAGTTGCAGACAATTCACCAATATCTAATGTCTACACTTACCTTTACCCCACAGTCTCACTTGTAGAAACCTACTCCATAAATGTAAGGTGCTTGCACAAAGCTCTTTGTTGTAGTTCTATTAGTAAGGGAATAAAACAGTGGGAACATCCTAAAGGTCCATAGTTGGGACTGGTGGAATCATCCTGCTGTAATTAATTCTAAGACTGAGTTCTGTGCAGCTGCACAGGTGTGTGAGGAGCATCTACACACACCAATACAGGAGTTATCTCCAGATTGCTACGGAAAGTGGGAAGAGAAAATGACGTGTAGTTGTGCTCCCTTTTACTTAAGAAGGTACGGCTATTCAGATATACACACATGCCTATTAAAAATTTAAAAGTTAATTTGAAAATATAAACCATCAAAGTGAAATAGCTTCTGCCATAGTACTGCTACAACAGAATACACACTGAATAGCTTATAAACAACAGCAATTCATGTCTCACAGTTCCAGGGGCTGGACTGTGTTAAATGTGCATCTACAGATTCAGTATCTTCTGAGGGCCCATTCCCTGGTTTGATATAGTGTCCTCACATGGCGGAAGGGATGGGGGGGTCTCTTTTATAAAGACCCTAATCCCATTCATGAGGGCTCTATCTCTATGGCCCAACAATCTCCCAAAACCCCACCTCCCAACTCCATTGTCTTGAGGATATGAACTCCAGCGAGACTTCAAGAATGAACATTCTGACAGTAGCAGTTACATATGGTGGGGAGGCAAATAGGGTTGAGGGGAGTGGATAGAAATTACACTTCTCTAAAATGGTGTTACTTTATATTATACACTTGACTTTGGAACAAGGTTAATATTTTACATAATTCTCACATTAAAAGTGGAAAATGGAATAACTAATGAATCAAAGGGGAAAATGAAACAAATGAATTTTTATCAAATTGTACCTTAATCATAGAGAGGAATTATTTCAGGGAATTATATTCCATGTTCCTAATAGTAAATAGGACAAAAGAACCACCAAAAAATACCTAGATTGTTTTGGTCATTATTTTGTTAGTAATGACATTAGTTTATTGTCTGAAACTGTTGCACTTAAGACATAGCATATAGAGTAATTATGATAATGCTGTTAGGAACTCTGATTTTTCAACATAAAAGATGAATAAATATAAAATTAAAGAGATTAATTTAAGAAACCTGTAATGGGGGGGCATGAGAGCTAGAGAGCTTAGAAATGAAAGGTCAGAAATAATGACAAATCAGTAGCAGTGAACATCTTGGGACACAGCATTAGAAAGCCATTGTTCAGGGGTTTTTGGACAAGTAGCTACTTCTGTGTTGGGAGCAGGGCAGTCAGAAGGTGAAGTGGGACACCTTGAGATACATAGATCACAGTAGCCAGGTCAAAGAGGTTCCTATGGGCCAGAAAGGAACAACTGGAGAATTAATAAGAACAACTAAAATATCAAGAAACACATCAGATACAGTAAAACCCAAGAGAACGACACTCAGAAGTAATTACATTAGTACATCTGAAGAAGCTAATAACCAATTTGTTTTTCTGAACCTGTATCTAAAGGAAAATAGCATTTAACCTCCTTTTCTCATATAAACCATCCAGCTAAACAGTTCAGTGAGAAAGTTTATTTTCATAGAAATATTTCTCCACTCCAGAAATAAATCCACAATCTATAATCAAGGGTACCAAGAATACAGAGTGGGGACAGAATCTCTTCAACAAAACTGCATAGCCAGAGAGAAAAATTGGACCCCCACCATACACCAAAACCAATTCAAAATGGATTAAAGAATTCATTCAACTATAAGACCTGAAACTATAAAACTCCTAGAAGAAAACCTCCTTACCATTGGTTTGTGGCAGTGATTTCTTGGATATGACAGCAAAAGCACACACAAAAACATTAAAGTACACAGGATGAAAAGACGACCTACAGAATGGTAGAAAGTATTTGCAAACCACATACCTGATAGTGGATTAATTTCCAAAACACATAAGGAATGACTGTAGTTCAATAACAGCAAAGAAAGTACTTGAACAGATATTTGTCCAAGACAACATACAAATGGCCAGCGAGTATATGAAAAGACACCCAGCATTATCAGCCAAATGCAAATCAAAACTACAGTGAGATATCATTTCACAACTAGTTAGGACAGGTATTTAAAAAAAAAAAGATAAGCACTGGTGAGAATGTGGAGAAATTACAACTTGTGTAACACCACTGGTAGAAGTGTAAAATGATGCAGCCACTGTGGAAACAGTATTCAAATTCCTCAAAAAGTTAAAAATAGTTACAATATGACCCAGCAATCCCCACTCTGGGTATACGTTCAAAGGCACTGAAATTGGAATTTTAAGGAAATATTTGCACAGCTACATTCACAACACTATTCACAATCGATAAAAAGGTAATTAACCCTGATGCGAGATGAATGAATAAACAAAATGGGGTATACCCCCACAGACACACTTACAAGGGCATATGACTCAGCCTTAAGGAAAAGCATTCCTGCCATTTCTGACAGTATCAGCAAACCTGAAGACATTAAGCTAAGTGAGAAAAGCCAGTCAGAAAATGAAAAAGAAAAAGAAAAAAGGAAGCTCCTCTGCCTAGGCATCTAGTAAGTATCATGTAAGCTCAAAGATTTTACTACTTACAGTGAGTAGTTTTGAGAAGACTCCGGAAGCACTCGGCATCCGGCTCCTTGCAGTGAGTGTGGACAGCAGGTTGGCCTGGCCTGGGCAGTGGTGCTGGCTATGTGGCTGGTGTGTGCAGACACACCACCCACCACACAGGCTGTCCATGGGCCCTGGGGTTCCAGGGCTTCTCTGGGTGGATTGCTGAGCCAAAGCCCGTCCCTCAGCAGGGTAGCTGGAGCCCAGGTTAACAAGAATTAAATCTGTCAGGCTCTTCTCTCACCAGTGGGATCTCCCCTAGGGTCATTTTCGGCAAACTATCCTTGGCAGTCTGCCTGTGGGGAGCTAGTGGGGCAGAGACCCCGCTGCCCACCACTGCTGCTGCCAGTAGCTTGAAAATGTGGTGCATCTGGAGCACAAGAAGAGCTTTAAACCTGCGCTGGGCCCCACCCCGAGACCCTCTTTAACGGGTCAGGTGTGCAGCCTGGTGAGCCGTAGCTGTCAAAGCTCCCCAGGTGATTCTGATGCTCAGCACACGTGCTTGCTCTTCTAAGACCTCAGCCCTCCGCTCTCTAGGCCTCTGGTCCCTCATGTATAAAATGAGCATTTGATCTTAGATGTTCTGGAAACCCTGGCTGATTTACAAGTAAGATTTATAAGCACATTGCATTCAGTAAACATTTGTTAATGCCTTAGACGTGGGATCCTGGCTTAGAACCGGGGAGGAAGCAAAGATAAGTAAACTTCACTCTGTAGTCTCTCGTACACACACACACACACACACACACACATGCACACATTCATTTCTTCCCCAAAATCAGCCTTAACAAAGCATCACTTTCCAGGATGTGAAGCCAACTGAATAGAAAAAAAAGAGGAAATCGGAGAAGGCACCTGTGCCATGGTATAGCCCTGGCTCTGATGCCAAAGCTTGGGTACAGGCAGAGCTAAAGGCTCCCAGAATACAGCTGGTGAGCAGAGGCCAGCAACTCTGTGACCCACTGTCCACTGCCCGGGGGTGAGCAAGTGTCACAGACAATAGCTAGTAGTGCGGTTTCCAGAAACCCCTGTAAAGTAACCCATGAGCACAGCTGGTTCCCTGTAACCCTTTGTGTCCCTCCCACTGACAGTGGGAATTTCCATAGCATGGGCTGGCTGGAGAGAGATCCATCTTCTCCTCAATTCACATTCAGTAAGATGGAAAAACCAGCTGGGAATTGCCATTTAGTGACTAGCACCTGCCAGGGGACAGAACAGTTGACCTGGCTGTCCTGGTTAACCCCTGGGGTGCCGGAGCGAGCCAGGGGAGGGTCATCAGGGTGTAGGTACACAGCTAGATGATAGCAAGCACGGGGCTTTGAAGAAGCACAAGCTCATTCTAAGAAGGAGCAGGGTGTGCAGAAATCCAGGAAGGTCTCCCCTGCCTGCCTCCGCCTCTGGAAATGACTTCATTCTTCCAAGGCTGCACATGACTGGAAGGTTGGCTGCCTTGAGGAGCCAGCTCATGATCCTACTCAGAAAAACCGCCAAGGATAAGAAGTCAGCTGTGGCTCCTTCAGAGGAGGCTGCCAGAGAGCTAGTGGCCAGACACCAAGTGTCAGCTCTATGGGGTTGCAACCTTTGCA